CTAAGTGCAAACCCTCTCTATATGCAAACCAAAGCTCGGTCCCAAGCTCGGGACTTAGTCACCTTCGATATTCTGCATATGCACAAAATTCCGGGGTACCAAATATAATATGCATTCCCCGTAAATGCATGCACGTAACTAAACTTAAAAACTGACCAATCATAACGCATATAATATTCTGTATTCTATTGTTGGCACGATACTCTAACTAGATTTATATTTGCACAATTTAAATTCTAGTGAACATTTTTTATACATTTCATGTGAAGTAAAAGTAAAAAAATATAATTTTTTAAACTTTATTTTAGATCGTTTCGCATAACAATCTTGGCCCACCAAAAAACGCCTACCAAAAAACGTTCAAATGAGTCTCTATACAGATAAGTATTGTTAAACGTACTGTATAATATCTTATCTATTACAAAAAAAATTTACTAAAATTTATAAACCGGATCTTTTTTTATATGCAACCAACCCAAAAAATCCTAGAGCCTTATTAGATTGAACGAAACATTTAAAATGAATTAATTTTCTCCCGTAAAAAATTGATCAATTTTACTTGGGTCGCTTTAACTTTTTTAATAAATTTTTCTACTTTTCTTAGAGCATTAGCATATTCTTCTGCATCATTTTGCTGAAGCAAAAATGTACGCACGGTTTCCAAACTCACATTTGCCGTATTAGCACTAACTATAGGAATTTCAAGACTATCATCTATATCTTCCAATTCAACGGTTGTTGGTTCATCAGCTCTAAATGTTTCAACAAGATCGGTAATAACTTGGTCATCCGAAGGAACTTCATAAACAACGTTTTCTTCGGGAATTGCCAAAAATTCTTCAACTGGCATAGGATCTGGAAGGTCGAGAGTTTCAAGTGCGTTCAAAATATCATTAAGTACAGGATCTGCAGTTCGACGCAAATCTTCTGAGGGACTTTTTAAATAGAAGCTGGTATCTGCAGGAAGAATTTTCGTGTGTGACCAACAATTCCGAATTGTACTGGTGCTAACTTCATCCCAACTTTGAATAAGAAAATGGATAGCTTGTAACACGTTCATTTTTAAATTTTCTGCACGCTTTCCATTTTCGATTTCTTGTAGCATCCAACTTAAAAAAATTATAAATTTTTAGATTCAAATTTGTACGTACGTACGTACAAAAGTATTTTTTTATTTTTTTTTTAAAAAAATAAAAATCTAAAAGCTTACCGAATATGAAGACGACGATAATGCCTTTTGAAGCTTATAATAATTCCCGCGTCCATGGGCTGGATTTTCGAAGTCGTGTTTGGAGGTAAAAACGAAACGTCAGTATATTGGAGAGTAATACCAGTAATATCATGACTAGTGCAGTTGTCGAGAAGTAAGAGCACACGTTGACCATGATACTTAAGACCGACTTGGCGATCAAATTCTTTAATCCATTCCTGGAAGAGGGAAGTAATCATCCAAGCCTTAGCATTATTTCTGTATGTCATATACAAATTACTGATATTGATATTTTTAAAGCAGCGCGGTTTTTTGTATTTTCCAATTACAAGAGGATTAAATTTATGTGAGCCATCCGCGTTTGCACAAAGTGCAATTGAGAGGCGTTCTTTGCTTATTTTACGTCCCGAAAGACGTTGAGTTGCCAATGTCCTATCAGGTTCCAACCTAAAGGTAAATTTTATTAAAATAATTAAAAAAAAGTCTCAAATCCATTAAATTATATTCACATAACTATACATAGATGAGAAGTTTATACCGATAGAAAAGACCTGTTTCATCCATGTTGTAAATTCTTTCAATAGGGTAATTCGCACACTTATCTTTTATCAAAGGCAACATTTCATCAATTGCTACCTCATCAGCAGATGCAGCCTCTCCTTGAAGTTTACGTAGATGAATACCATTTCGACTTTTAAATTTATAAAGCCAGCCAGGGGAGAAGTTTAGCGCTCCTTGAGGAATTTCCAAACTATCAGCAAGTGCTTTTGCTTTTTCGATAAGCAAAGCATCACTTAAAACAGTTCGATGCTGATAAATCAGCACGAACTCTTTAAGGGCAAGATCAAGTTCTGAATAAGTAGTGGTTCTGTGACGCTTTGCATTCGAATTAACAATTTCATTTCCAATTCGTTGATCACTTGTTTTTAAAATACGCGAAACTGTGCTTTCATCAATTGTAAGATTCCACTTGTCCTCAATCCATTTAACGTATTAAGACTGAGTTCTTTTATTTTCACGAGCATAGACACAAAAATCGCGTTTTTGTGTATCAGTAAGAGTTGTTCTCTTGGGCATTGTTTCTAAAAAAAAAAAAAAGTTGATTATACAGGGATAAGTATTAAGAGTTTTTTTATACTATTTTTTAACGTATATGATCAAAAGGGTTTTTTTAATTGATTTTTTTTTTTGCTTTAAAGGTGTCGTTTTTACAAATAAGTTAATAAAGCATTTAATCGGATAAGGTTAAATAAGGCCATTGGATTTATTAGAGTAGCACGTATTAAATCAAATCGATATCTATCGATATCATTGTACTTTAT